CACCCCTCCCCGACCCCCGTTGAGCTCAGTGGGCGGGGCGGGGCGGCGAGCCTGGCTCCAGCTCGGACACTTGCTGCTTCGCCGCCGCCTGCAGCAACTTTTACTTTCTCTTGGCTAAGTGATGTTGACCGTAGATTATAACTTATGAATCGTTATTGTTTTATCCGTGATAGAGCTATGAGTAAGGGTCTGTTCTGCTGTTATTGCTGTTTCTTTTCTCGCTGTGTGGCCCCTGGCCCGTCGTGTCCCCTGCTGCCGGCGCTGAGGGCTGCAACAGCAAAGGAGGGGCAGGGGCCTGGGGAGGGTCGCCGCGGCCCGGCGCGGGAACGGCTTCTGATCATCTCAGTCAGCATTACGGCATTTCCTGTTTTATTGTGATTGCGAAGCGCGAAAGAACGCCGCTCGCTAATTTAGAAGCGCTCGGATGGTTGCTTTGCATGCGGCAGCCCCACATTGCACTGCACAGCTGCTCGGTCGCCAACTCGAGCACCACGTATGCGGAGACAAGCGCCACGGCCGCTGGTTCTTCTGAGACTCTCAACCTCGCCATCGCGCCCATCTCCACTCTAAAATGTGAGGGAAAATCTCTGTACCTATAGGTTAGATATGTCGGTGTGTCTTTGGCACACCCTAATCAGATTTGTCTGTACAAATTTGTTCAATTTTTACCTAGGCTTAGGTACAATTCTTTTATTTTGTCTCTACACACTAAACCCTTATGCATTTTGTTGTGTAGAAACTTGCAGAATTTTATACAGCAATATATGCACCTTTTTTTTGCAAAATTGTAAAATGTGCATTATTATTATGCACTCAGTGTACAAAGTTATGCATAAAATTGTGCATAATATTATGGTTGTATGAAATTCTGCAAGTTTAATGCACAACAAAGTGCATAAGGATTTATTGTAACGTAGAGACAAATTCACATCTCATTTTGATGTGCACTAGGATACATCTAACCGCATCTAACCTTCATACAAAATCTGTCCCTCCCCATTTAGTGTGTCCGTCTTCCTACTGAACGTGCTTGCTGCTGACAAACGCAGCGTAAAATTAACAGAATTCCCCCACCCACCCGCCAGCCAAGTGCGTCCGTTTGAGATGAGTCCACTAAATCGCGGAAGTCCTCATAGTGTGGCGCCGGCCAGGGGGACTCCTCGCTGCTTACTTCCGGCCGGGCCCGAAGGGAAATGAGAAAACCCGCAATGTCCACGGTGCTTATCGTGAGGACACGGCGGGCCCGGGACCTTTAGGACGGAGGACTTCCCCGCCTCGATACTCCTCGCGATAGCGCGATAAAGCGGGGGGTATCGGCGGCGTGCCGGCCACTTGGGTCGTTGGACCGTGCGAGGAACGAGTCATGGCGCAGCAGCAGCAGCAGCGCGCCCGGAGGCATCCGGATCCGGAAATAACACGTTGCCTTCCTGCGGCATCCCAAGTCCCGCCACCGCCGCTGCTGTTGAGCTGTTCCACGGCCCATTCCTCGCGTTAAAGAGCCCGTTCCGACGCAGCAACCAGTGTAGCCGCTGCTGTTTAATTGCGAGCCGGACGCGTGAGGCGATCCAATTTACTGGACAGTCGAACAATCGCGGCGGCTGCAGTTGTTGTTATTGTTCACGCCGTGAGCGCGCGCGCCACCCGGCGGGGTGATCCCGGGCCGCAGCCCGCCCGCCAGTGGCGCCCGTGGCGTTGCAATGAGCCGTGGGTGGCACCGCCGCACGCGAGGGGTCGTCAACTCTCCTTGGCCGTGTACGGAGGAATATTGGATATTACAAATAATATTGGTAATATTGAGCCAATTTTCAAGCTGTGACGTCATAATACTAGAAAAATGTGTAATATCGAGGTAATATTACCAGTAATATGGCTAATATTGGTGTAATATTTGAGGTAATATCAGTCCGTGTACGGAGGAATATCGAAGTTGACGACCCCTCGGGCGCACGTCTGCACGTGCAGGTGCAGGCTGCATGCCGGCCAGGCGTTAAGGTGTCCCAAAATGAAAGTTTGAGCCTATCCTGAGTATGGTTCAATATCTCGGGTTTGGACTGAACGTGGCTTGTTTTCAAGGTACGCAAATTATCTTTCAAACCAGCCCCGTTTGGTACAAATCCGATATTGGAAAGCCTAACCAAGTCCCGTTTAAACTTCATATTGGGACACCCTACCGGGCATGCGTGCGGGTGGTCTGACGGCGCCGTGACTGCAGGCCGCCCGCCGGCACTCCTGCCGTGCGGTGCAGTATCACTGCGAGTGCCCCGGTGGGGCCCGCTTGTTGTTGTTTGTGCTGAAACACTTTGAGAGGTCCGGCTACCACGTGGCGTGGGGCGCGCGCGCGTGTGCCGGGCCCATCCGGCCGCACCGGTCTGCGGGGGGATTGGAAAGCAGTTCCCCTGTCACTGCGCGCGGCCAGGGCGGCGTGTGTCCAGCGGGTCCAGGAGCTGGTCCGACCGGCGGGAGGCCGATGGCCGGTGGGCTGCCGGTGGGCCTCTTAGCCGTACGTGTAACAGGTGCCTGCGGTAACGAGAGGCCCACGCACGGCGCCCGCCCGGCACTAGCCCGGCCAGTCGCAGCCGGAGCGCTATGGTTAATTGTTGCGAAATACCAGGAATACGCGGCGGAGTCCCGCGGGCCCCGCCCGGCCTCCGCTCGGGGCCTGCGGGCTGCAGCCTTGCGCTGGCGCACTGCCAGCCCCCCCCCCCCTCTCGGTGGCGACTGCGCGGGGCTGAACCAGATCGTGGTCATTGTCGTGTCCCGAGATTACTTGCTGCGGTCCGCACCGGGCGGCACGGACGTCTATCAACCATCTTTCCCAGCGGCGTCCTCCCCCCTCGGGGACCTTTCCCTCGTTTGTGGTTCAAGGACGCCGTCGTGGCCACCACACCACCGCCACCATGTTCGCGGTGCCAGCCAGAGCTATTTTGTTGGCTGTTCTCTGTCTTCTTCGCCTCCATCGTCATCTTCTTCTTCTGCAGTTGATAGCACAGCAGCACAGCTCTGGAGAAAGTACAAGGCGGCATAACTTTTCGGGCGAGTGGTCGCGGCGGCCACGACGACCAGGGCCTGCCCGCCCGCCCCGGCCTCTGCTCTGATGGAGTCAGTGACGGAGTCAGTGACCAGCCCGCGGGGCAGGCGCGTCACCGCGCGAGAATCGAAAGTCCGTCATCTCGATCCGCTCCGCTCGACTTCCGGACGACGCGGATGATCCGGCCGGGCCCGGGACGCACCTCGAGGTGTTCCCCGCGGCCTGGTGTGCCCTCGGGTCTGCCCTTGGACTCGAGCACAGCTGTGAATACCAATATGCTGGTGCGCTGCCGCCCGCTGGTTGCTGCTCCCGGAGATCGAGTTATGCCATTGCCCGTCACCGTCACGTTACGGCCGGGCCGGGCCGGTAGGCCTGCGCTGGTCGGCCACGCCTGGTCACGCGTGGCTCAGCGGCCGCAGCCCCGGCTGCGCTGCGCTGGCCAGGGCGTTGTTTATTTTCTTATCCCATCCGCTGCTTTCCTTCTCATTTCTATTTGGACCCGCCGCCGCCGCCCGCCCGGCCCCGGCTCAGCCTGGAGCCGCTTCAGCCGCTGGCGCAGGGAGCGGCACGGTGGCGTCGCACGTACGCGCCCAGCGCCACGTAACGCGTAAATAAAAAGATTTGACAAATGAACACGGCTCGCATCGCACCGGGCAGCGGCAGCGGCAGCCGCGCTCACGTAAGGCTGCTGCGCCCGTCTGCAAATAACGTCAAAATGTGCAAGTTATCGCCGATGCTGCGTGCGCAGCGCGTGCCAACATGCCAGCGACAACTTCTGGCCAGCGTGGATGTGGATACGTTCACCCTGTAGCAGCAGCAGCTGCTGCGGTGGTGTACGCTGGCGGTGTGCGTGTCGGATGAGCTTTGAGGGTGAGGGGGGAGGGGGCGCACCTGCGCGGTCCGCGCCGCGCTGCCGTGTGACACTGGCGCGGCCCGCGGCGGCGTGGTCCTGGCAGTCACGGGGGCAGCTTCCGGGCCTCAGCGGACCGGAACGTCACCCAGGCCACGCCACGCCACGCCGCGGCACGCCAGTAGCGTCCCGACACCCGCACGTCGTGTACCTCTCGCAGGGAGCCCGCCGCCGCCCGCCCCGTCGTTCGCATTCGTCGTGTTTGCCGCCGGTGCGGCTCGCTTGGGCCGGACCGTCGCGTTACCGAGCTTTGTTGTTGTTGTAGCCGTGTGTGCCTGCGTGAGTGTGTGCGAGTGTGTGTGTGGAGCCGAGGAGCCGAGCGAGGGGCGCGCTCTCACGTCCGTGTGGACTTATCCCGCCGCATGTCACGGCCCAAACAGACACTCAGATAGGCGGGACGGACAGGCGTTGGTGTGTCGGCCGCCTAATGAACTCGGAGTCGGAGCCGCGAGCCCGTGTGTTTTTAAGAGAGCCCCCTTCCCCTCCAGTCCAGCCTCTTCAAGCACCCGTAATGCACCACTCTGCTTTTTAAATATTTTACGTGTCAAAACATTAGTTCACTGACGTGCGTGTTCCTTTGTCGGAGCAACGCCCAGAATATATTTCATAATATTGCCATTACGACTTGGTAATCGTCAAATACTTCAACTTTTTCGTTTAAAACAAAACTCGCCTTTCTCGCCGCTCGCCCTTTTAGGGCGACGCCCCATGACGTCAGCGCCTATCGCCTAGTCGTGGTCAACTGCTGGTGTTTCCGTGGTCCGCTGTGTATCATTTGAATGTCGAATGGCTGTTACGTCGCAGCTCCACTCTCGTCTCGCCTCGCTCCGCCCCGGCGTGGCGTTCCCCTCTAAAAGAAAGCATCTTCTGTGGGGTGCTCACGCGCCGCCCTGCT